TTTAGTAGAGACAGGGTTTCACTATGTTGGCTAGGCTGTTCTCAAACTCCTGACCTTGTGATCCTCCTGTCTCAGCCTCCCAAAGTGCTGGGATTACACGCATGCGCCACCATGCCCGGTCTGAAACCCTAATTTTAAGAAGAAATGAATCATAATGGAAGGCATCTTTGCCTTCCATGCCACAGGTAAGACAGGAAGTGGTAAATTTTAGGGCTCGTTTATATTTTGTTATCTGAATTTTCTGATTTTTTTTTCCCTCCCTCCTCTGCCTTTTTTTTTGAGACAGAGTCTCGCTCCTGTCACCTAGGCTGGAGTGCAGTGGCACAATCTTGACTCACTGCAACCTCTACCTCCCGGGTTCAAGTGATTCTTCTGCCTCAGCCTCCCGAGTAGCTGAGACTACAGTCGCCCACCACCACACCTGTCTAATTTTTGTATTTTTAGTAGCGAAGGGAATAAAACTACTTTCTTTTAAAATTCTAACTGAAGTAGAATTTTTGGCTTGCAGATTCCAGGTTATCTCTGTGGAAGGTAGAAAGGGTTCCTGTCATCTGGGTGTGGTGGCTCACACCTGTAATCCCAGTACTTTGGGAGGCTGAGGCGGGTGGATCACAAGGTCAGAAGATTGAGACCATCCTGGCTAACACAGTGAAACCCTGTCTCTACTAAGAATGCAAAAAATTAGCCAGGTGTGGTGGCGGGTGCCTGTCATCTCAGCTACTAGGGAGGCTGAGGCAGTAGAATCCCTTGAACCTGGGAGGCAGGGGTTGCAGTGAGCCAGATCGTGCCACTGCGATCCAGCCTGGGTGACAGAGCAAGACTCCATCTTAAAAGAAAAAAAAAAAAGTGTTTGTGTCACCAAAGGGTCATGTGAACTCTTGGGTTCTGAACCTCAAGTGATTCAGTAGAATGTCCTTGGGCTTTCTGTAGCCTTCAATTTTAAAGAGTGGGATAAGGGACTGTGTCACCAGATAATGTGAGTAAAGTGCTTTGAGATCACCAGATGAAAAGCATCCTATAAAACCTCAAGGTGCTGGTGTTAGTTTGCTGCTGTCATCAACAGAAATAATTGTTACTCTTAGTCATATTGGAGCAGGCGGGGCTCAGTTACCTTAGGCCAATATAGAAATAATAAACTGTTGAATTGGGAAGAAAGGACCAACCCCGTGCTAGGTTCAGTTTCTCATAGAGGGCATCATGCCTTTCTGTGCAAGAACAGTTCTTACCCAATGTTCTAATGGGTGATTCCAGAAGACCAAAAATTCAGCTTCTGCCTCTTGTAACTAAAAAGCATAGAGGATCAAGAGAGAGAAACACACAGAGAAAAAAAATGAGACTTGCTGTCCTAATTTTGAGGTTAATTTTTTTCTTTTTTCATTGTAGCAATAAACATTCTCTTTGTCCAAAGAGTAATCTTTGTTCTAGGACTGCCCTTCACTGCTGTGCCCTTGTTTGTGATTTTGATATTCTTGGTATTTGTTACTACCATCTGTGTCAGGTGAGATGGGCCCCTTACAAGAGCTAGTCCTTTGATGACCTTAGGCCCGGTAAAGCCATGTTCTCCTTCCAAGCTGAACAGGGTGAAGGATTTTGAATCAGTTTTCCTCCCAATTCAGAGTCCTTTCCTACCCACATACATGTAAGTGAAATGGAAAACAGTCTTTCTTTCAGATAGTACCTTTTTTTTTTTTTTTTTGGGACGGAGTTTCACTCTTGTTACCCAGGCTGGAGTGCAATGGCGCGATCTCGGCTCACCGCAACCTCCGCCTACTGGGTTCAGGCAATTCTCCTGTCTCAGCCTCCTGAGTAGCTGGGATTACAGGCACGCGCTACCATGCCCAGCTAATTTTTTGTATTTTTAGTAGAGACGGGGTTTCACCGTATTGACCAGGATGGTCTTGATCTCTTGACCTCGCGATCCACCCGCCTCGGCCTCCCAAAGTGCTGGGATTACAGGCTTGAGCCACCGCGCCCGGCGCCAGATAGTACTTTTTAACAGCAGCCTGTGGAATTTTAGCCTTGGTGTCTAAGAAGTACCCTGAAAGAATTTTCTGATAAAGATACTTGTTTTTCTCCAGGTGAGGCACCATAACCCGGTTGAACTCTGCATCTGGAAAGCTGAAGATTGAAGAAAGATAAGAGACATTGCCTAGTCTGGAAACAGGGACATCTTTGGAAACTTCGTGTCATCCACAGTAAATTTTTAAAGTGTCATCAAGTGGAATTGATTTCTTCATTTTATTCTGCTTTACTGGGAAGAACATGGCTTCAAGGATTTTAAGTTTCCCTTTAGTTTTACGTGAACTCTGTAGGAAACAGAGCCCTTGAAGGGCTTGGGAATAACAAGAAGAGATTGAAGACAGACAAGCTTGCCCTCTTTTCTCTGTTTTCCTGCCCCTTCAAAGAAAAGGATTTACAACTCAAACTTACAACAGCTGTGGTCCAGCTTTAACCATCAAGAGAGAAATAAATTAAACCACCATTGCCAGACTACATTCCCTGGTGAAGTCAGGGTGTGGGAGTGGTGGCATTGAGAAGACTGCCGAACAGAGACAAAGACTGCAGTAAACACAGCTTCTCTTTAAAGTTGGAAGGGGCCTTAGTTTCCTTTTGGGATTAAATTAGAAACACAAGGCACACCTCTTTTAGGTGCAGCTCACATTTTGTGGAAGTGTAGTCGTGGAGGTACTATAGTATCTCCTCAGAAGAATTTTTTTTGCCCAAAGTTTGCTGCCATACCCTGATAGTCTCCCCTTTTGAAGACCTGCCTCCATCCATGAGCTGTATCTTGATCTGTATGACTGTCCATGTTTTCCGCCTGCAACCATTTGCATGTGTACAGCTTACTGTTGGTCTCCAGTTTTTAAACTGTACAAGTTGTGTTTCTTAATATCCCCTTCTGCCTTGTTCTGGGGAGGTGGTTATTCAGCGTTTGGAGTCACCTTTCCCCCTCCCATGTGCTTTTCTTCATTTGAGATCTTTTGACCTTTGGCTTTGTTTTGGGAGGGGGAAGGGTGATAAGTTTTCTGTTTTCCTGGTTTCTTTCTGTACTTCTCTCTGTTGCTTCCCTCCTCCCATTTTCTTGTCTGTTCTGCCGCTGTGTGGGCCTGGGCTATGCGGCAGGGCAGATTTCCCATCAGAGCTGCAACATGCCCGCAGAGTCTGGAAAGAGATTCAAACCCAGCAAGTATGTCCCGGTCTCTGCAGCCGCCATCTTCCTAGTAGGAGCTACGACACTCTTCTTTGCCTTTACGTGAGTTTTCTCCCAGCAGGGGTGTTTGGGTGGGTGGATACTCCATGGGAAGTGAGGAGGTGTGCTTTCTCTTGAGTTTTGCAAAGCCAAGTGACTGAGAGGGCTCAGTGTCTGGTACAGGTAAATGCAAATTCCAGAGATATTTAAGAAAAGTGAGAAAAAGCCTGTCCTTTCAGCCTTGTTGTAAGTTTTACTTCACTGAATCTTCTACTTTCCCTTTCCTCTTGTATTTTGGAATCATAGTTGTCTTCATATTTTTCTACCCAGCTCCATCATTAGATGATCCTAAACTAGGAAGGAAGTGGGAGGAAACCACCAGAGAGGCTTGAAGCAGTTTAAGCAGTCAGTTCTATGAGAGAAAGAGAACTAGACTAGACTAAAGGCATTTTTATTTTTATTTATTTATTTTTTGAGACGGAGTCTCTCTCTGTCACTCAGGCTGGAGTGCAATGGCATAGTCCCGGCTCACTGCAACCTCTGTCTCCCGAGTTCAAGCAATTCTCTTGCCTCAGCCTCCCAAGTAGCTGGGATTACAAGCGCCCACCACCACGCCTGGCTAAATTTTGTATTTTCAGTAGAGATGGGGTTTCACCATATTGGCTAGGTAGGTCTCAAACTCCTGACCTCAAGTGATTCCCCTGCCTCAGCCTTCCAGAGTGCTGGGATTATAGGCATAAGCCTCCGTGCCCACCGACTAAAGGCTTTTTAAATGCTAATGGCTTTTTCCCAGGATGTTTGAAGCTTAGGTTTGAGATTGTGCAAAGTGAGAGTACTGGAAAATTTCTGATTTATAGGATACACCAATGAGACAGTTTTGGCTTTTAGTGTTATCCAGATGGTTTTCTTTTTACTCTTAAGAGCAGAAGCCTGGAGAAGTGAAGGCTACTGAGAAAGGAAAGGGTAAGTTTTATTTGGGAAGAGAGTCCTAAAAGGTCCTTTTATTATAGTTTCTGTTGAGGGAATGACAGTAATTCTCCCATTACTTGGTTCCGTTGAGAAAAGAAGTTGATCTGAAAAAATTTCCCATTTAGGATCTAGGATCATCATCATTCTCACTTTGATCTTCAGACTTTGTTCATTTACTTGTTATTGGAGGAGACTGAGTGATTTACCCTTCCCTTTTTCGTTAGTTTTTTTTTTTTTTAAGCTCTTGACCATCTGAAAAGCATCCTTGCTGTTAACTGTTTATAAATTAACATGTACCAGGCTTCTGAGCCTTATAATGTTGAGTCATTGATTTAGTGCTCTAGTTGCATCTCTTGGAATCATCAGAGCATGCTGGATCTTCTGGGAAGTTACTTTGTCATGGTTCAGGCCCAAACCTAATTGTGAAGTGCTATTCAGAGCAACATGAGGTTGCTGGAAAGAGGAAGAAAGTGAATTGAAGTGGTTGAGAATAAAAGCACTTGGGCTCATTGAAGTAGAGATCATTGGGGTTGAGGCAGTTATACACGGAAGTTAAATCTGAGGTAGGAGGGAAGGAAAAACCCCCATATTGAGCTTTAGAAGCCAAAAGAAATTCTGAAAAATGTGGGTCACATTGTCTAAAGAGTCAGCAAAGTAATACTGATATATTTCTCTCTAGTTTTTAAACAAGGAAGTAAAGAATCACTATGTAAGGCATGAACACTGTCCTACTTCTCACCTTCTCTGAAGTGGAGAAGTCATAGATTTTTTGGCCCCCAGCTGTGAGTCTGAACATACCTGCTGGAGTCCCTTAAGGGTCTAGAGACAGTCCTGCTCTTCTCTGACTTAATCTTTTCTTCATAATCTTTTTCTCTTGCCTAAACTCAACATGTTCAGTGTTCTGTCTTTCTTCATGCATTTACTACCAGAAAGGGGTGAGTTTTTGGTGTCAGAACTTGTTTTGGTTTTTGCTAATATGGCCGGTGAGTAGATTCAAAATTTTAACCAAGGGACATTTATGTTTTAGTATCCTTGTAGCAGTTTTGGTTCTGGGTCAAGAGGGGTATGTACAAGACCAGTTTGATACCCTTAGCTCTGCTCAATTAGGGAGGGTCTATTTTCCTTTAAGAGGCAAAGCCTTTGGAGCAGGAAATAGAGGGGACTAAGTGATTTCTGTCTTGCAGGCTACCTGTTCTTGAGAAAGGAGAAGCAGAATCCTTGTTTTTAATTTGCTAATCTGGAACCATTGAAGTGTTTGGCTGGTTATACCAGTTTGCCTACAAAGAGTTGTCCTGACATAGGCATTTTCTCAACTGATAGTTGAAGCTGTTTAACCTACTTTCTCATTCCCTGGTGCAGGTAAAGTAGGATCCCTCCTTATTCCATGGTCTCTTAGTCCTAGGAGAAATGATTTTGGTGGACAATATTGACCCTATTTGGAATTACTGCCTCTCATTCAAAGTTAGAAGAGCTCTGAATCATGGCTGGAGTTACCGCCACTATCAGTTTCCACAGGACCAATTTCTGGGCTCCCTCTTTTCCTCAGTGTCTCCCCTCTTCACCTTGTTGGGGCATAAACACCTTGTTTATCTTACTGTAGCACCTAGCTCTGGTAATTCTGAAATTCTCAACTCCTCTTCTCCATCTGACTAGAGTATTTCTTCTATAAGCATATAGCTGGGCTGAGGCACCAGTGTTCTTAAAAACTGTCCTCTCATGTATTCTGCCTCTTTTGAGGTTCAGTTCCTTGGAGAATCCCCTGTTTAAAACATATACAACCTAAAAAAGAGTTTATGGTTTCAAATGGAGAGGCAAGAGGAAAGCTGTCTGAACTAGCACCTATGTGGGGCTGTAAATCTATAACTACTCTGTCATCCTCCTGTTCTCTTCACTAGACTACAACTAGGTACATTACTAGAAGCCCTAGGTGAGAATTACTTTGGGATCTAGAGGACTGTGAGTAGAAGGGAGAGTCCCTTTCAGGTAACAGACATAATTAGTGGAGGCATGTAGGCTTCAACTAATTAGGAACAATTTACGTTCCATGTTTCTTTGTTACGTAGGGAAAGCTATGAGCAGAAATTACCAGTTGGGTTTGCTTCAAAGAAATAGTGATGTTCTGCTCCAGAGAATCTTCAACAGAACAGTTGAGGCCTTCCTCCCAGAACCCTAATCGCTCTCATTCCCTGAATTTGTTCAGTACCGAAACTAAGCAGAAATTATGGGGATCCTATCTTAATTATTTTTCCTTTTCACTATTTGGAAGGGAGATTGTCTGCTGAAGTAATCCTCCACCTCCCAGTTAGGGACTAGACTTCATTTAGGATAACTACCTGGATGCTTATCTATCTTAGTTTAATCTCCTTTTTTGACTGTCAGAGGGGCAGTGCTAGGTAAGTGGGATAAGCACTGTTTTGGGAAGGTCAGGAGATTGATTTTGCTAAAGTCTGTTAACCTTTGTGGACCTAAGTCCTTCCTCTCTATAATTAGAAAGTTGACCTAGAGCAGTATGCTTAAGCAACATGACCCTTTTTCAAATGAAATCTTATATACAAAAAACCATAAAAGTAGGGCTGCTCTGGTTCAAATGAGGCTGGCATTTAGAGGCCTAGCCCCTTGATATTGCCTCTTTACCTGTTAGGGTCCCCTGAGACCTAGTGCTCCTGGTAACACCATTTGGAATCACTTTGAATTGTATCTTGCTTAAAGTCTCATCAAACTGTGAATTAGTCCAGTTAAGGTCTTATTTTGTCCGGTTTCTAAAGCTGGTGGGGAGGGGGCAGGGGCCAGATCTCTGCTTCACGTG